ACGACCCTTTGACAGATTGTCAATATCCTCACTAAACACCATCCCTTGAATATATTTCACTAGCGTCATTAGGGAATTATGCAATTCAAAATCTGTGAAAGTATTAGTCGAAATAGTGGGTTCATGACGCATTTTTTGGATCACCCGAAGGCAGTACGAGAATATCCTTAAAATGGTTGGGAGCGAAGAACGTTCACCTAAAAGCCTGGAAACACCATCAATTTCCGTAGTGATAGCACATACTAATTTTCCTTCTTCGGCGAGAACTTCCGGTTGCGGCTTTGAATCGGGTTCAAACTTTGATGCAGGCCACACTTCCTGCGGCAACAGTAACCATGCGGGACCGTGCCACCACAAAGAAGCGTCACACAATTCAGAGGGTAACATGCCCCGAGTAGCGCAGTCGGCGGGGTTAAATTCCGAGGCAACGTGGTTCCAGTTTTCAGGAGGCACGATATCCTGGATTTGGCTGACTCGATTGGCTACGAAAGTTTTCCATCGAAATGCCGGCGAGCGAATCCAAGCGAGTGAGACCATAGAATCCGACCAAGCGTAAATCCGCGTAAAGTTAACGTCTGAGTAAGTGGCCAAGACAAATTTAAGTAATTTTGCGGCCAACAAAGACGCACAAAGTTCGAGTCTAGGAAGTGAAATACGTTTTAACGGAGCAACTTTGCTTTTTGCATAAACAAGGAAAGTAGAAATTTTTTGGTTAGAGCAAACCAAACGTGAATAGATACACGCTGAATATCCTAGGCTGGAGGCATCTCCAAAACCGTGGAGCTCAATCGAGACATATGAGGAAAGAAAACAATGTCTAGGGATGCGTAAATTTGACAAACGGGGAAGATCGGCCTTATATTTTTTCCATGTTTTCGCGATATCAGAGGGAGCCACATCATCCCAGGTGATTCCTTGGACCCAGAGATTTTGCATCAATAATTTAAGGGCGAATGTAACAGGGGCAAGGAAACCTAGAGGGTCAAAAATGCGAGCAATTTCCGAAAGTATGGACCGTTTAGAGCATTCTGATTTTAAAACTTTTATTTCGTAAGAAAATTTATCGAGGTGGGGATACCAACGAAGTCCTAAAACCTTGAAATAGGAATCCGTGTCATCCATTGAAATAGATGTCAATGTTTGGTGAATATCAGAAGGTATAGTTGATAAAAATTCCAAGTCGTTACTAGACCATTTTCTCAAATCGAAGCCTCCCAACTTTAAGAGCTGGATTAGTTCGTTCTTGATAAGGATGGCTTCACTTAATGAATTCGCTCCATCAACGACATCATCCACGAAAGTTTGATTAAGAAGAACTTTTGAGGCCCTAGGAAAATCCTCGGAATAATTTTGCGCCAACTCAAGAAGACATCGTAATGCAAGAAATGGCGCACTAGATACTCCATAAGTTACCGTCTTCAGAACAAAATCCTGAATGGGATCTGAAGGGCTAAATCGCCAAATAATGCGTTGATAATCCCAATGACATGAATCAACCCAAATTTGGCGGTACATCATCTTGATGTCAGCAGTGAAGACAACCGAGTAGCGTCGAAAATTTAAAAGAATAGCAGTGATGTCCTTCTGGAGCTTAGGACCGGGTAAAAGCGTTGCGTTTAGGGACTCGCCTTCTGTATTTTTTGCGGATGCGTCAAAGACCACACGAAGCTTGGTGGTAGAAGAATTAGGATTTATTACGCTGTGATGAGGAATATAATACATTTTTTCGGGACGATCTTGAGCGGGTAGGACAGTTGCGATTTTCATGTGTCCCAGGGACAAATACTCATGCATAAAATCGCAATAGGCCTTGTAAGTTTGGGGATTACTTTGTAATCTCCGTTCTAGGCTATAGAATCGACGTAAAGCAATGGAACGTGAATCAGAAAGAAGCGGTTCACCATTTTTGAATGGCAGGGAAACAATAAACTGTCCATGGGACGTGCGACGGTGCGTATTCACAAACGAACTTTCGGCCAAGAGGTCATCAGAGGAGAGAGTGCTAGCTTGAGGAACTTCTTCAATTTCCCAGAATTGTTGCAACTTTGTTGTAAGATCATCATTTTCAACAAGCGCTGAGAAAGTATAAAGTGGAGTTGGAGTTTGAAAATTGATTTTTCCCATCAGCACCCAGCCAAAAATTGTGTTGAGGGCAACTGGAGATCTTCCACCTCCATCGATTTTTCCAGGCAACCAAATATGAGGAAAAACTGAAGCTCCCAGTAACATGTCGATACTACCTGGAGCGTTAAACGATGGATCAGCTAACTTCAAATTGTTGATGTGATCCCAAGAATCGGTTTTAAAGAATGCGGTTGGCATGTCAGAACATACTTTGGGTAGGATAATAGCTTCTAAATTGACTAACAACTTATTGTTGATAGGAGGACCGATCGAGAATAGCGTCACACCTTGTGATACAAGAGAAGACATTTCGCCAATACCTTTAATAGGTATATTGAGTTTTGAGGAAGTCAAACCTAAGCGGTTGAAACACCTTTTTGAGATAAAATTTGCCTGACTGGCACTATCCAGCAAAACTCTAACGGAATGCGGGTTGCCTTGGGAATCCAAGACATTAACTAGCGCGGTTGCCAATAGAACCACTGAATTTGGATTTACAGCTCCAACACACGAATTCATAGTCGGCGAAGAACTTGAATTTGGGCTAAACAATGAGGGTATTTGGTTATCAGGGGGCGATTGAACTGAACTAGATGAATTAGTTTGTGAATCTGCGGAGTTTGGACTCTTGGCTGAATCAAAATGCAGTAAAGTATGATGGCGCAAACGACAGATGCGACAAACCGAGGTAGATTTGCACTTCTGTAAGTTATGAGCCGAACTCAGACAATTGATGCACATTCTGTTTTGCTTGCAAATCGAAAATCTCTCTTTGGGAGTGTTATTGCGAAAATTAGGGCAATTATAAACCAAATGTGACAAATTACACACACTGCATCTTTGTGAAGGTACTATAGTTTGAGTTTGACTGTTGCCGTTACTTGCATTTGCCAACAATGCATGAGGATAAACTTTTCCAGGATCACCTTTTACGCCTCGACTATTATTTGCTCCTTTTGTTTGCGAAATTTGATTATTCGAATGAGCCATAGTCTCTAAAGCTTTACATTGATTTGTAAGAAATAACTTCAACTGATTAAAGGTTGGAATATCAAATTGTGCATGGGCTAATTCAAAACGTTGTACTGTGTCAACGTCCAGTTTTTTAAGTAATAAATTCAGAAGAATAAAATCCCAATGTACAACTGGAAATCCTAAGAGAGAAAGGGCGTCTAAATTTTCCATAAAGGAATCAAAAATATTGCGTAAATTAAACCCATTCGAAACTTTAGGGGAAATTCAATATTTCAGTTAAATAGGTGGTTGCCAGTAATCTTTTATTTTGGTAGCGACTCACCAGGGTTGTATAGGCAATTTTGTAATTTGCTTCCGTTATTGGAATAGCTTTGATTAAATTTAGCGGTTCCCCCTTAATAAAAGAGAGGAGATACTGGAACTTTTCTATATCTGATAAGCCAGCTTTATTATGAATTAGGTTTTGAAACAAATCAAAAAACGTTGGCCATTGCCTAAGGTCACCCTCAAATACAGGTAGGGTCAACTTGGGCAAATTAACATTTATAGTCGGGGCAAAGTTATGCAAAGCGGCAGTGGGTGAAGCTAACGGTTGCGACATTGTCATATTGACACTCGCATTAGCGATTGCTTCATTTTTAATGAATTGATTGAAGATACTCTTCGTAGTATAATACTTTTCATCTATTTCGCTTCGAATTTCTTCTTCGCCATCCCATTTGTCCTCAGACATATCCTTATGAAAAACTATTGTCATGTGAATTTTTTCGAAATCTTGATAATAAGAGGGAATAGCCTCATAGCGTGTCTTAAAATATTCTTGCATTGTCTCATCTGCGATCGCTTTATTAGCAATATCGTAGACTTCAGAAATTCGTTTGATAAGAATTTTGCGTTGGGCAGTGAGAATTGTTAAATCTTCTGACATATTGCCAAAAAAAAAAATCTAGCAAAATCCGTTCTTTTCCTGAATTTGCATTTGGGCAAGGCAAAAAAAAGAAAGAATTTCAAGCTTGGAATGTTTATGTTCAAATAAACAAGTTTTTTTCTTTTTTTTTGCTCTGCTCTTGAGGTTCAATTTACAACTTCTATGGATTTTCTGATAAAAATGTTTTCGTTCTACTGGCCAAATTACAATAATTAATGCCTTTTATGTTTTATTTTGTCTAAAACACAAACCGAGAATAATTAAAACACTTGCAGTTTCTTGCTAAGAATGATGTATAACGCGAATGAATTTCAACAAAATGAAAAAAATCAAATAAAATACTTTCAATCAATCGATTAATTGCAATAATTAACCAGTTAATCAATTTAAGCACCAGAACAAAATAAGAAATCCGGCTCGAAGGACCAAAATGTTTTGCGGGTAGCTAATACGTAATGTCTTAGCTGGTACTGGACTGTATTTACTTTGCGGCGCAACCTCTAAATAATGATAAAAGGGACTTACCCAATAATTCCATAAGTGCACTCCTGCAGGGACCCTGCTTTACACACGCGCTGCGGATTATGGTGTTCCCAATTACGGGTTATGTAACTTTGTAGAAGGTTGATACGAGAGGACTTCACAATGAAGTTTTGAGATTAGAAATATTGCGACCGGGTTAAGCCGTACGACGACGCGCCCGTGTCGTCTCATCGAGTTTCTTAGCAAATCTGTCCAATTACTCGCTTCTGGTACGTCCACTATCAAAATCTAGAGGTACGACTTTTTTTGCGCGAAACAAAACAAAAAAAATGCGAGCAAACAGGAATTTTGCACCTTTGCCAAATTGTATAAAATTTATTTAGAATAAAGACGAAACACTATATATCTGACTGACTTATTTTGCGGCACTCAGCTCTAAGCGCTCATGATAAATGTGTTCTTTTCACCTTTATAGTTTCTTCATTCTTACCCTTCACTAGCTTCAACACAATGACCGGCCGTCAAAATCCATCTGTCGCCAATAATTGATCCACCACAAAAGAAAGCATCAGAATCGGAAAGTAATTGAACCTACAAAAAAAAAAAATAGATATAGGTATACATATACACTGGCCAGCAAAATTAACGCACCACTACTATTTTTGAAAAATGTTTTTGATTTCATAATATTGATCAAATATCTTTATGTCTTGATTAAATATATTCTTATTCTAACTCGATAAGGGTATTAACAAAGGATAAAATTTCAAAAGAAGGTAAGAAAAAAAAAAAACAAAAAAATTCAAAAATATTTTTTTTTTTTTAACTTTAGTTAAAAATAATTAATAACCGGTATTTCCTTCTTTATTTTGAATAATAGCACGGCAGCGATTATTCATGTTAAAATTATGGGCCTTATCTCGTTTTAATCCAAACTATTCCATATTTGGACAATATCTCCAGTAAGCCCATTCAAAGTGTTAGGAGGGTTGGGAAGCTGTTAAAAATGGCGATAGATTATGTCCCAGATATCCTCAATTGGGTTAAAATCAGACCTTTTTGCTAGCCAATCCATAGTTTCAATTCCAACCTCAATAAAATAGAAATAAGTAAATGGTGCGTTAATTTTGCTGGCCATTGTATTAAAACGATTTTATAACTCAATACCGTTATTATGTTCAAATAATATGTATACAGATTGTGTGCGGTTCATAGAATAACGTATGTTTGCTTCTTTATACCTAGTTTGTTTTTATTTTGTGAGATGACTCGATTTTCAACTTTTTAGTACCTCTCCTTGTTTTTGTTCATTCTTGAACAAGATAGTGGTTCAGCAAAGGTATACCATAAGTGCATTTTTAGAATTTCCGTAAATTAATCCCTCAAAGTAAAAAATCGACCGGTCCTATCATTTGTATGGCTACGTTGCTGGGAAAATCAGGATGGACAGAAGTTCCAATTAGCCCACCCTGTATATTTTTTCCAAAGATGTAGCATAGAATGTAGCACTGTACGATTAGTCTATGTGTTATTCTCGGACCAAAATTTAAAATTGATTTGATCACCTAGATAGATAGCCATTTTATCGTTATTACAAAGACGTTTTTTAACTTCTGTGTGTTCATGATAAGAATACTGTTTTCAATTATCGAGTTTAGCAAAACTATTTCATCTACCTACTCAATATTTTTAATGTAGGATTACAAAAATTTTCAAGTTTCAGAGTGACCTTACCGTAAGTTGTTCACAACGTAATTTAAATTGAAGGCGCTCATAAATTCACAAAACTAAACTAGATTAAAAAATTGTGATGTTTTTCCTGGACTGAATATTGATTGAAAAATTGATGAAGGAATAGTAGAATAAATGAATAAATAATTATTTATCTTCTTACTGATAGGCTTGATTTTGTAATGACAGTGACTTGGAATTGGTTGTGTTGACAATTTTTTTTAAGATATTTCGGCTGCATCCGTTCCTGAATGACTTTTCGTCTGTTCATTATCAGTTGTGCACAACTGAAGATAACGGAAAAAAGAAACTTGTAACATTGGCGTAGAATTGCAAAAAAAATCCTATTAATTACAAATTTGTTGAAGCTAAGACAATAACTATAATAGTGTTATTGAACTTACCATGTATGGGAATTCACCATCTTTAGCGGTTGTTCCATTTACGATTTTGAGAGGAGGGTGTTGGGGTTTTGCAGTTACTGGAAAAAATTTACAGATTAATGGATCGTTATAGCAAAAAAAAAATATAAATGAGTTTATGAAGTAGGAAACCTATAAGAGGATACTTCAAAGTAAAAAAATAATAATTAAATAAAATATAAGTATGTACCTTCATTGAGAATAACAGCAAATATTACAGAAAAACCAATAGTACTGACTAACTTAATCATGTTTGCCATTATCTGTTCTTACCTATACCTACAAAATAAACACAATAATTTCCAAATTTATAGGATTTGTAAGTTAGGATAAAACACTTGTTATTTTTTGTATTCATATCAATGATAGAATAATAGGATATGAGTACTTAGCGCGATTTCAAAAAGCACTTGAACACATTTTTCAACTCAATCTCATATGGCCTAATCAGAAGCTAATTTGCTGAAAATAAGCATTTTTTTTGAAAAGTGAATTACTTACTAATAATATTGTTGAAAGATTTCAATCAATACCTAAGTATTTATCACAAAAAAAGTTGTTAAAATGATTGATTATTTCAAATTTATCTCGAGAACATCAGAGTTATGCTACTACATGCATTTTGTGATTATTATGTTTTTTTTTTTTTTTCTTTGTATTTCATTATAAAGGACCCCGCAACCGACACATGGTAATTTCTGTACGATTTTCTTTAAATTTTAATAGGTTGTAGGTATGGATAAGTACAACAGAAAAAAAGTAAGTTAGAATATGGTGGCTCCTTTCGTTCGGCTACAGTGGTATGTCAAAGTTAGGGCCATCAAAATACAATTTTGCATTTTTATTGTTTTGTTTTTCTTTGGGCAGAGTATTGTAAATGCTGTATATTGTTTTGGCTCTGTCGTATAGGCTTTCAACTACACCAGCTTTTATCATGATTGGGTAATTTGAATTGAAGTTTAAATATCTGTTTGTGTGTGTTGGTTTTCTGTATATTATAGTTTCAAATTTGTCTTTGTCTTTGTAATGACCCGGGAAAAATAGACCCGTAATTTACAATGTCTTAACTGTAAAAATTAAATGTAATCAAAATCAAAAATCAAAAACTGAATTTCTTGTAATTATATCAGTATCAATAAATTGAAAACGAAACAAATTAACTTTGACCCAAATTAATTAAAATATCTAAAATACGTTCAATTTTCATTTTAATAGCCATTCATCAGGCGTGTGTCATCAAGTTAGTTGAACTCATAAAACAAATTCTTAAAAATATTAAAATCAAGGTGAAAGTAATTAAAATGGTGATTTATGAGTTGAATCCTCTACATTCTTCCCATTCCCATTTCATTGATCCTAAATAATCATACAATTTCGACAAAGATTTCGTCATCATCCGAATGAGAAAGTTATATTTTCTAGAATAATATCTAGGTCGAACAATAGAATTGAATTACAGATGGTCAAACGACCGCCCATATTGTCGATTTTGGTGAGTAACGGCCGACACTTTCTTAAATCAAATCTGTTGACCCCGAAAAACCAGGAAATTGCGACATAATTATTCGATTTTAAACAATTAAGAGAGGAAGGTTAATGAATGATGGACATAGGAATTTATTTTGGGGGGGATCGAAAAATATAAAAATAGCAGTTTCCGAATTTTGGAATCAGTTTTTAATCAGTCCAGTTGTGTCTTCAGTCTGCAGTCCAGTTGAGCCTTCAGTTAAGTTTTGAGTTCAAGTCTACAGTAAAATGAAAAACTATTGTAAAAATCAAATTCTCTAAGTGAAATTACGTCATCGTCAAAAAGCGAAACGTCAAAGTCGTCAAAAATGTGAGAAATATTGAAATAAGGGAAGTTTACTTCCTCGCACTATCCATACACAAATAAAGACAAGCAGTAACCTTATTAAGGGAATCATTATTTTCAGACCCAAATGCGCATGCGTAGATGTCAAAAATGGCTAATTTAAATACTGCTTGTCCTTATTGCACGTCCCATAACTCTCTATTATCAATGATGAAAATGACTATGCAGTGAATTGACTTTGAAACTTTATTGCATAAATATTATTAACTTGAGTGATTAGACTATGGAACAATATTGCATAAAATTAATTGCCTTTGAGTGAAATGACATTTAAATATTTTTGCTTAGAATTTAAAAGGGGAAATTATAATGCACTTAATGATTGTCGATTTTTGAGTATTGAATTGTCTAACTTAAGTCTGGGCTCTAGTAGCTAACTAAAAATACCTAGTTTAAATAATTTGTGTAATATTGACTAGGATTTCGAAAAATAATATTGTTCTGTTCAAGTATATGATCCTTAGTAAAAGATTGAATCATTAAAAGTAATGGTTGTTGTTCATGAAGTAAGATTGTTGTCTTTAATGCTGAAATTTTGATCAATGGTTAATCAATTAGAATTATTGTGAGGTTTTAATAAAAATATAGTTGGTATTATTTAATCTGAGTAAGTGGGTTTATGAATTTAAATAATTGTTCTGTATAAGTTGTCAGTAAATGACTTTAGGGGTTTTGAGAATTTATAGTTATAGGTAATGGTTAGATTCATTTGGAATATGTATAGAAAGTATTGTGTAGAAGAATAAATTAATTAATTATAAGTTATTGCGAATAAAGAAGTAGGGCTTTATAATATGGATTATTCCAGGGCCGAAATAAAGGAAGAAATCTTCTAGGTTGATAAAGTTTGAAAAGTTGCGAAGTAAATTGAATTGGTAAACCTAGAAGTGGCTGTAAGACTTGGGAAAACATTTGTTTGATTAATTTTTTTTTAAAATATTTAAGTATAATCAAGTATAATTTAGTAAACCTTAATAGTTTGTTTCTCTCATTTGCGAATAGACCCCCTCCACAATTTTATTAGTAGCCGCCCAAGGAAATAATCAATTAAACCGCTCGCCATTTACCATCTAACTATTTAAAAGAGTATAAGTATGCCTGAGAAAGGTATTATTTAAGTTCTTTTTCTATTGTTAATAATTGTATAGTTGTATAGCTTGTAGTTATTCGTTTCAAGATCAAGAAACTTCTGGAAACAATTTCAATTGACGTGTAAGTCCCAAAAAATGCAAGGTAATATTATAGTTGTATTCCTTTCACACCTAGGAGGAGCTTCGCAACAGCTCCGGGGCGTTACGCATTTATTCCTTTCGAAAAGTGTTTGCTGCACCTGAAGTGCTCAAGCCCGAACACAAACCAATTGACGTTTTCAATTAAAAGAGACAGACGATAAGTATGAAAACATTCGTTTTCCCGCCAACATTTGCTTGCTTGTCAATGTCAATGTGTATTGGGTGTTTAGCAATTCCCTCGTTTTTATTCGAATCGGTGACTTCACCAATGAGTTAGCTACCTTTGTTAAGTGAGTGGAAAATGACAATGACCAACATAGAATGGTGGATTCATCGGTAACATTTGCGCAGGGTTTGAAATTGAGAAGAAAATGTGGAAAAAGTCACTGCTTCATTCGCAGAACTTCGCTATGAAGACGGTAATGGATTATTCTGGAAGCAAACAGCTTCCGCAAACTGAACTTGAACGTGGATTACTTTGTATACTTGATAATGGGACGTGGATTTCCCTTTCTTTTGCGAGTATCCTTTATCCTTTCTGATTTTGTGTATCCAAATTTTGACAAATATATAATTTGATGGAAACTTATGGAAAAACGCATCCGCCGGTGAATAGGAATTATTTTTATGAAAAGGCACACTACACAGAATCACCATTGTTGAGAAAAAACCGAGGAAATAATAGATTTTTTTCAAAAGTCTTGTCTACAAACCACTGTCAAAGGCTGTCAACCATTGTTTTCATACTCTTTTGGCATCTGACATTTTGATGCCAGAGAGAGAGGGTTTTAAATTGAAAAGGTCAATCCCTGAATACCGGAATTATTTTTGAGGAAACTTAATTTAATTCTTCAAGACGAATATCAAACTATTTCTTTATTTTCATGAAATCATTTATAATTTTAGTGTTTATGCCTTTCCGGCCACTGCGTTTCTTGACCAAAGTTTCCTCCGCAGACATTATTAATTTATAAGCTGAGGCCATATCTGGAAGGATCAACGTTCACTGTGATCACTGACCATCATAGTCTAGTGTGGCTTAATAACCTAAAGAGCCCCACTGGTCGGTTGGCGAGATGGGCTATCCGGGTGCAGCAATACGACTATACCATCGTATATCGTAAAGGCAAGGATCACATCGTGCCCGATACCCTGTCCAGAACCGTGCCCGTTATTGACACTGTCATATCCGATACGCCGTTGGAATCTGTGAACGATTTGTGGTTTCAGGAGCTTTATAAGAAAATCAAAAATTCTCCAAGGAAATATTCTGCTTTTCGCATCTTGGGTGCTAAAATCTATAAATATGTTAAACCAAAATTCTCCGAGTTGGCAACTGAGAAGGATTTCTGGAGGGAGGTGATTCTTCGTGAGGATCGTGATAAGGTTATACTGGAAGCTCATACCTCACTTTGTCACGTTGGTGTGTTCAAAACATATCGACATCTCCCTAAGACGGCATATTGGCCAAAGATGAAAGCTGATGTTGCAGCTTATATTCGTCGCTGTCGTGTGTGCCTCTCCATTAAACCCGAACAAAACAACCTGTTGGGCTCATGCTCAGTTCTCAGGTCTCCATTTCTGAGCCATTCGAACTTATTTGTGCCGATCTTATTGGTCCCCTTCCCCGTTCTAATAGTGGTTATTCTTACATATTTGTGGTTGCCGATTATTTCAGCAAATTTGCTTTATTGTTTCCATTACGTGCCGCTACCGCTTCAGCTATATGTCAATTTATGGAAAATTACGTTTTGTTATTGTTTGGGATTCCTGCGACCATAATCGTAGATAATGGAGTCCAATTCCATTCGAAGGAAGTTCAAAGTCTTATGCAGAAGTATGGTTCGCGTATTAAATATACGGCTTACTATCATCCCCAAGCGAATCCTTGTGAACGTGTTAACAAGGTGATAAAAACCATGCTGATGTCCTTTGTGTCTGAAAATCATAGAACTTGGGATAAGTATCTGGGAGTAGTCGGCAATGCTATCAGAACTTCAGTTCATGAGGTGACGGGATATTCCCCGAACTTTATAGTTTTTGGAAGAGAATTGTCTAGGAACCAGCACTCAGTTTACCATGACGGACCTATTCTTTTTAATAGGACTCCCGTAGCAGAAACACGAACCAAAGAACTTAAAATCCTTTATGAAGA